TTGCCTAGGGAGGTTGTGGAATCTCCATCTCTGGAGATATTTAAGAGTAGGTTAGATAAATGTCTATCAGGGATGGTCTAGACAGTATTTGGTCCTGCCATGCGGGCAGGGGACTGGACTCGATGACCTCTCGAGGTCCCTTCCAGTCCTAGAATCTATGAATCTATGAATATTTATACTCTCAAGTTTGCAAGCCAAATTTGAAATAAAAACATCCATAATTTTTTTAAGGGATTGGAGGAAGTGGAGCTCAGGATCCCAAAGTACCACTTATTTCCCATTTTATTTTCCCTTTCTTGAGACCCTGCATCATGATGACTGTCCCTGTGCCATCAGAATTAGAAAGAGGGAGTCACTGTTTAGTAAACACACGGTGATCCCTTTTTCTACCTGTTCCTCAAGACTGACAGTGCTGTTTTCAGAAAACTCCCAAGCTTGGGTGATACGAGGCAAATTGAACTCAATTGTGAAATTCTGGTTCCCCATATGGTAGCATGTTCCTCTACTGTTGAGCCAGTGGGTCAGCTCACACATTGCTGTTTCATGTATTAAATTTCTAATATACCCATGCAGATATTTAGAGAATTAATATAGAAAAGGGACACACATGAAGAAGCAGTTCTTGCCATAATATAAGCTGGGGAGTAGGCCGTGTGTTCTGTATTATGGTTAATGTGCAGTTGCATCTGCCATACCGATGAACTGTTTCATGCCTAACACTGCTTTCCTCCACTTGTAGAAACTGGAAGTGACAGCTTTCAAAGATTATTGAATCTTTTGGGTGACACAATTACACTGAAGGGCTGGACAGGCTACAGAGGAGGCCTGGACACTAAAAGTAAGATTTCAGCTAAAATAACTGGTGACAGGTCCATTGTGAATGTGCTGTTAGTGTGCATGCATATGTACAGAATGTAAGCACACTCATATACTGTTTACATAACAGAAAGTAATAGTCCAGTCTGAGAAGAGACCTACTCAGATACTATTTCCTAAACATATTATTAGACACATTTTGCCATTTTTCATCAAATAATAATGTTCTTAATATTATTGGTAAATCTTGATCTCCCCACCACTGACGCTCCCTGATACAGTTACCACCACTGAGGCTATGTCTGTCATGACACACTCTTTTCAAAACCTTCTAATCCTATTCCTTAGTCATCCGGGGTTGGTTATGGCTAAGCAATGTGAGACACTCCCTTCCTCACAACAGTGCTTGCAATGGGAATATCAGCATGGAGAGGCATCCCCACTGTCTGTAATAGGAAATAACATAGGCACTTTGCCCCCCAGCTTTGGCATAGCTTCCCTACCATCCTACTCTGCCCCCTGACAAAGCCTAGAATTTGGAGGATTTCCATGATGCAGTCTCAGCCCTATTTATTCCTCACAAATTCACATTGTCTGTTTTCTTAGACTGCATCTTACCTGTCATGAATTGGCCACATATTCTGTGTCATGGTGTTAGCTACGGGTGGTTAAATAGCATAACAACTTCACATACTGTAAAGAAGAGTCACATTCAGCTCCTTTTTCTCTTAGAGACAAAAATTAGACTTGTCAGGCACAAGTCTCCGCAGGATAGGACTCCTTCGAATTCATGGTGTATTAAAATAAAACTAAACTGGATACGTGTCTTCCAGTGAGACTCTGCAGGAGGAGTTCATTATTCAGTCAAAGGCCATGACTGAGAATGTAGATATGCACTGGCTGTCAGCCCCAAACACAGGAGTATATTTTACTGAATTATGAATTTCTTGAATGGAGATTCTACTGATGTGTGTTGGTGGCTGCATTTGTTTATGTTCATGATGCATTTTCACTGAGTTGCTGAATACATACCTCCTTTCAGGGTAAATCCACTGGGCCTACTGGCAGAAACATTATATATACTTTAAATTATGCAGGATGTCAAGATTTTATAATCTTTTATAATCTATTAATTTTGAGCTGTTGAAAGGCAAGTAAGAAGTATGTATCTGAAAAGGAGGTGCCCTGAGACTGTCCTGGGACAGGAAATGAAGTTTCCTTTTCTTCTTAGAAATGTAGTATTGCATAATCCCACTGAGAGTGGTTTTCTTCCTTTGCAGATGATACAACAGGAATATATTCCATATACACAGTGTATCAAGGGCATGAGATTATGTTCCATGTTTCAACCATGTTACCATATTCTAAAGAGAACAAGCAGCAAGTATGTGGTTTTCATACTGATTTTTCTTAGTAAACCACCACATGTTTTAAAAGAAAAGGTATTTTAGTTTGTCAGTGAAACTTGTTTTTTGAAATGTAAGACTCAAATCTCTCAATGCTTATGACATTCAAAATTGTGCCTGATATATAAAATTTTATATCTTTATTGCCAATACACTTCATTGCGTTACCTATCTCATAATTAGTCTTGAAAGGATTATATTTTTATTGATAAAAATGATAAACATCAATTTCATTGTACACACACAGACAAACTGAAAAAATATTTCCATCGATAATGATCAAAATTTATAGATAAGCAAGGTAAGAAAAATACTGCTTGAAAACTTATTAGACTTTGATTACTGGACATTTACTTCGTATTTTGACATATGATGTTGATAAATTTATGTTGTAATGGTCTTAAAGCTTTAATTTTTTGAATCTCAACATCTGTCATTACATAATTGTCTAAACCCTCCATATTTTCCCACAACTGTGAAAATTTAAATAGATACAAATAAATATTGATATTATCCATTGAAATTTAAAGAAATTAATTCTGCTGAGTCTATTCATAGTACAAGAGCAAACGCACAATGACATTGAAAAGTAACTAAGTTAAAACTATATAAAGCACAATATGCACATAACTTGTGGGTCCCACTGCCACAATATGTCACTGAGTCCAAGACCTTTGTACGGCTGAAATTTAAACATTTATATGGATAGTGAGAATATGCATAGTTAAGGCTAGATTTTGTCACGGATATTTTTAGTGAAAGTCAGGGACAGGTCATGGTCAATAAACAAAAATTCACAGAAGACCATGGTCTGTCCCTGACTTTCACTAAAAATATCCCTGACAAAATGGGGAGGAAGGCAGGTTCAGCACCCACTGCTGCTGGGATACCGGGGTCCCCCGCCGCTGCGGTGAGTGGGAGCTCTGGGGACCCCCCTGCATGGTGGCTGAGAAGCTCCAGGGGGGTTTCCCGCCACCTGTAGCCAGTGGGAGCTCCAGGGTCCCTCACCGCCCATGGGGGCTGGGCGGCGGTGGGGTCCCCTCACCCCCTGCTGCAACTGGGCAGCTCTGGGGAGTCCCACCGCCATGGCTGGGAGCTGTGGGGTCCCCCCACAAGGGCAGGGGCTGGGAGCTCCAGCCCTGAGGCAGAAAATGTCACGGAGCTCTCTGGAAGTCACGGATTCTGTGACTTCCGTGACATAACCATAGCCTTAATCATTGATAAAGATATTGAAACATTGGGCCAAAGACAGATCCCTATGGGACGTCACTAGAAACACCCCTGTTTGATGATTTCCCATTTATAATTATTGTTTGTGATCTATTAGTTAATCAGTTGGTAATTCATTTAGCATGAGCTACACTAGTTTAGAATAGTGCTGTTTTTTTTAAATCAGAATGCCATGTGGGACTAAATCTTTGGTAGTTATTGCAAATGTATGTATCTTGGTTGGGAGCTGCCTGCTTCCTACGGGCTCTTTTCTCCTCAAGCTGTAGGAGCCAGCTCCTGTCATGGACTTTGATACCCTGATGGAGACAATCACTTGTTACAATCACATGCTAAGATTTCCCATTGGTCAGGATCAATTCCAAATTCCTTCATATCTCGCTTGCATGTGACTTTGCAGTGAAGCTTGAGACATCCTGTTGTTCTTGTTCACTCTGATAGCTCCCCATATAGCATGTCCTTGAGTATGCGTCCATCTTCCAACCTTCTTGGATAGCCCAGCCAGTGCAGTAGTCTTTGCTTGAGCAGGGTTGTCACAGTTGGTAAATTTGCCTTTTGAAGAACCTCTGCATTGGTGACTTTATCTTGCCATTTGTTGTTGACTATGCAGTGTAAACAACATAGGTGGAAACTGTTCAACCTTTTCTCCTGATGAGCACAAGTTGTCCATGATTCCCCCACCATACATGAGAGTGCTGAGGACGCAGGGTTGGTACGTTAGCATTTTGGTCTTGATGGTAAGCTTTGAGTTGTTCCATGCTCTTTTAGTTAGTCTGCTAAAGGTGGTGGCAGCCTTTCCAATGCGAACATTTAGAGGCAACCTAGTGACCGAGGATGTGGAAAAAGCTAATGTACTTAATGCTTTTTTTGCCTCTGTTTTCACGAACAAGGTCAGCTCCCAGACTACTGCACTGGGCAGCACTGCATGGGGAGGAGGTGACCAGCCCTCTATGGAGAAAGAAGTGGTTCGGGACTATTTAGAAAAGCTGGACGAGCACAAGTCCATGGGGCCGGATGCGCTGCATCCGAGGGTGCTCAAGGAGTTGGCGGATGTGATTGTGGAGCCATTGGCCATTATCTTTGAAAACTCATGGCCATTGGGGAGTCCCGGATGACTGGAAAAAGGCTAATGTAGTGCCCATCTTTAAAAAAGGGAAGAAGGAGAATCCGGGGAACTATAGACTGGGCAGCCTCACCTCAGTCGCTGGAAAAATCATGGAGCAGATCCTCAAAGAATCAATTCTGAAGCACTTAGAGGAGAGGAAAGTGATCAGGAACAGTCAGCATGGATTCACCAAGGGCAAGTCATGCCTGACTAACCTTATTGCCTTCTATGAGGAGATAACTGGGTCTGTGGATGAGGGGAAAGCAGTGGATGTGTTATTCCTTGACTTTAGCAAAACTTTTGATACGGTCTCCCACAGTATTCTTGCCGGCAAGTTAAAGAAGTATGGACTGTATGAATGGACTATAAGATGGATAGAAAGCTGGCTAGATCGTCAGGCTCAAAGGTTAGTGATCAATGGCTCCATATCTAGTTGGCAGCTGGTATCAAGCGGAGTGCCCCAAGGGTCGGTCCTGGGACTGGTTTTGTTCAATATCTTCATTAATGCTCTGGAGAATGGCGTGGACTGCACTCTCAGCAAGTTTGCAGATGAGACTAAACTGGGAGGAGTGGTAGATATGCTGGAGGGTAGGGGTAGGATACAGAGGGACCTAGACAAATTAGAGGATTGGGCCAAAAGAAATCCGATGAGGTTCAACAAGGACAAGTGCAGAGTCCTGCACTTAGGACGGAAGAATCCCATGCACTGCTACAGACTAGGGATTGAATGGCTAGGCAGCAGTTCTGCAGAAAAGGACCCAGGGGTTACAGTGGACGAGAAGCTGGATATGAGGCGACAGTGTGCCCTTGTTGCCAAGAAGCTAACGGCATTTGGGGCTGTATAAGTAGGGGCATTGCCAGCAGATCGAGGGATATGATCATTCCCCTCTATTCGACATTTGTAAGGCCTCATCTGGAGTCCTGTGTCCAGTTTTGGGCCGTACACTACAAGAAGGATGTGGAAAAATTGGAAAGAGTCCAGCGAGGGAAACAAAAATGATTAGGGGGCTGGAGCACATGACTTATGAGGAGAGGCTGAGGGAACTGGGATTGTTTACTCTGCAGAAGAGCAGAATGAGGGGGGATTTGATAGCTGCTTTCGACTACCTGAAAGGGGGTTCCAAAAAGGATGGATCTAGACTGTTCTCAGTGATGGCAGATGACAGAACAAGGAGTAATGGTATCAAGTTGCAGTGGGCGAGGTTTAGGTTGGATATTAGGAAAAACTTTTTCACTAGGAGAGTGGTGAAGCACTGGAATGGGTTGCCTAGGGAGGTGGTGGAATCTGCTTCCTTAGAGGTTTTTAAGGTCAGGCTTGACAAAGCCCTGGCTGGGATGATTTGTCCTGCTTTGAGCAGGGGGTTGGACTAGATGACCTCCTGAGGTCCCTTCCAACCCTGATATTCTGTGATTCTATGATTCTATGATTCTTCATCCACTGAACTTTTGGACTACTACTAGCTGATTTGCCTGTAAGGTAATTGAAGGATCTTGTGGACCCCCCTATCCTAATACAACCGTTTTCTTGATGCTGATGGTGAGAGCAAATGCCTGATGGGTAATTGAAAGGCAATCCATGAGTTATTGTAATAGATTTTCATTGTGGGCTATGAGGGCAGCATCATCAGGGAATAGAAGTTCCCTGATTAGCACTTTTTTTTACTTTGGTCTTTGACTTAAGTCAGGACAGGTTGAAGAGTTTCCCATCTGATCTTATGTGGAGATACACTCCATCTTTCATGTCCTTAAACACACAGCTCAAGAGTACTGAGAAAAAGATTCCAAAGTGTGTAGGGGCAAGAACACATCCTTGCTTCACTCCGCTTTTCATCTCAAAGCTGTCTGAAGTGGACCCGTCAAACTGGACAGTTGCTCTCTTTTTATTGTGGAATGAACATATAAGACTTAACAGGGTTGGTGTACATCCTATCTTTTCTAGTATTGTAAATAGACCTGCTCTGCTGACTATGTTGAATGCTTTGGTTAGGTCCACAGAGGCGATGTACAATGGTCGGTTTTGCTCTCTGCACTTTTCTTGAAGTTGACACAGAGAAAATATGTCTATTGTTGATCTTCCAGCCTTGAATCCACACTGTGATTCAGGGTAGACACGATTTGCCAGCTGTTGTAGTTGCACTAAGATGACTTTTATGAAAGCTTTTCCTGCTACGCTTAGTAGCGAGATACCACTGTAGTTGTTGCATTCACCCTTTTTGCCTTTATTTATATACAAATTGATGATGTTTGCATCACGCAGCTCTTGTGGTACCTCACCCTCTTTTATAGCATTTAAGTAGCAGCTAATGAAGATATGGTAATAAGCTGTCTTTCCCTCACTTGAGGATTTCTGCTGGGATACCATATTTTCCAGGAGCCTTGCCACTTGATAGCAAATCATTGGCCTTGCTTAGCTCTTCTACAGTGGGCTCCACATCTAGCTCTGGCATGACCTTTAGAGTTGGTATTTGGTCCAGTGATTTGCTGGTGATGTTTCTTTCTTGCGCGTATAGCTCTGAATAATGTTCAACCCAATGAAACAACTGCTTGATTTTATCTGTAATGATTTCACCACTGTGCGATTTGAGAGAAGCAGCCTTGTTGACAGTGGGACCTAGAGCTTTCTTCAGGCCATCATACATGACTTTG